AGACAGCTAATGAGATTGTAATCAAGGGGTGTAACTATCAAAACCTCTTTCATAACAATATATTTTCTTGAAATTTCCTTCAAACTTCGAAGAAACAAAGTCCCTCGTTACATTCCAGAAAATCCGCCGAGACTTTAAGAAATAAACAAAAACAGAGAGTGTGTCTCGAACATGCAAGATGTCTCCGAAAAACACATGTATAAGATTTACAAGATTCATACTGTCACCCACCTGGTACGTTAACACACATAATAGTCGAATACTTTTGTACTAATTATTAGTTTAGTCTAATACTCTCTTTTCAAGGAAGAAATGATTCCTTGCAGCGTGGTCGTGTTTGTGTGTTCTCACTAGTGTTTTGGAGGAAGGAGAGGGGAAGAGGGGCATGTACGGATTGACCCGACACTGTCCTAGTTGATCATGTTCATCGGACAGTGCAATTAGATGCTGCATCAAAAAAAAAAAATTAAAGTTTAATCTTGAATTGCATTTTGAAAGATCCTTTAAATTTTAATTTATATTCTTAAAGATAAAAATTTTTAATTTATCCCCTCAAAAATAAAAATTTGTATTAATACACATTTCAAATTAACAGTTGTCAGTTTAACATTTAAAATTATATAGATAAATTATACCTAAACTCCTTCATACTTGTCACTTAATCATCTAAATCCTTATATTTGAAATATTACACCAACATCCTTTTAAAATTTAAATATGACTAAAAATATTCCCCCAATTAGACTCCAAATAACTATATTTAAGTGATGCATTGTATTGGATAAAAAAAATATTATATAAATACATGTATTATATTGGACATTCAAATGATAAGTTTGATTTTAAATTTTAGAGTAAACGGGCTCACAAAATAAAAGATAGTATAAAAATTATAATTTTTTATTGGGATGAAATCATATTTTTTAACTGTTATATTAACAGATGTCAACGACAAGGGTTTATGTGTTCCACGTGCACAAACATTAAAAGTTGTAGAAGTAATATTCTACATGTGAGGGGGTCAAATGATTAAGTGACAAGTATGAAGGGATTTAAGTATAATTTATTCATTTAATTTTAGACGAAAAACTGACGGTCGTTAGTTTTATGTACGCATTGATACAAATTTTTATATTTGATAATACAAATTGATATTTTTAATTTTTGATAGTACAAATTAAAATTTGAACAATCATTTGAGGTGTAATTTATAATTAATCCAAAAATTAAACTAGAGAGAGAGAGAAATTCAAATTAGGACTTGACTATGGTACCAAGAAGAAAATTTTGGTATCATACCAAAATTTATTATATTTGTACCATTTATATTCAGCATGAGGTTTTATTGAAATTTTTACGGGGGAATTCAACTAGTGCGCTGAGTGCATAATTTTAATCTACACTATTGACCCATTTTTCCGTATAAAAACAAGTAAACATTTTGCCAAGCCAGAGAAAAGAAGAAGCTTAAAAAAATACGATTTAGAAAATGACACGACTAGTTAACATTAATAATACATTGATTGGACTGGTGTTAAGCATAAATAATTTGATTTTAACATGACAAATTAGTTTAACTAGTAATATATGAACATAACATACAATTCTTTTCATTGTTTCATCGAGTATTGCATCGATTTTTGTTCATTCATTGCTTTTTTAGTTAAATTTAATATCATAAAGATGGAATGAATTTTTGGTTACCCTTATATACGTCATTTGAATTCACGATACAAAAAAGTTGTGGTTTATGCTAAAAAGAAAGAACCTCTTGGAGCTCGTATAGAATTTGGTTTGACTACCTTACTTATAACAAAATATGTTTGAGATGTCAATAAATAAGATCTATTTCTATTTATCCATAATTTATAATATAAGATATGATAGATTTTAATAATTCATCCGACAGTCTCAAATAAACTCATTTAACGGTCACTAATATTTCTTTTAAAACTATTCATATTGCACCATCGTTCAAACACGGATTACCTGGGTATTTTCCATTTTGTGACATTTAAAATAATAAACTTCTGCTGCATCCCTTTTCACACATGGGGGGATAGCATAATTTGGCATACTTTCCCACCAACAACTTTGTGAATATATGATTTTTTCAATTTTTTTTCGAAAAGAATACGTTATTGGATTTGATATTGTACTAAAATTTATAATTTTTTAAAATTAAGTTGTAATTTTTTGAGGTATAAGTTATAATTGCAAAAAGTATGATTGATCATAAAAATTATAACTATTAAAAGTGAAATTATACCTTTTTAAAATTAAATTACAACTACTTCAGAGATATATTTAATTAATTATACTATTGCATTATTAATCATAAATCACTTCAATTAATTATAACTTTATTTTTAAAATATATAATTTAATCTCAAGAAATAATAACTTTCGATACCATTGTTTTTTTTTTGGGTACGGTAGAATTACCCAACTTTCCTAGTATGGAGATGGCATGACCTCAAGTATGAAAGCAAGGCCCACATGGGAAAGTGTCATTTGTTCCAAAAGAGGCAAAATATGTTCTATAGTCATGTGCATGCTGGCATGCATTCTCCAAAGTAAAAAAGAGAAGTAGTTGATTTTTAGTTGTGTTGTGCCGTACCAAATTAAGGAGAATCACATCAAATATCTTGAAGAAAAAAACAAGTTAAGTGAAAGAGAAAGCAGAAGTCAAGTCATGCAACGTAAGCTTAGCATGGAAATGGTTGTGACAGCTCTTAGTTTTTTTATCTACCCTCTGTACCTTGATAGAGAAAGAACAAGGAGGGAGGGAGGGAGAGAGAGACTTTTAGAATAATGTGCAGGGTGATGATAAGGCCCTCGACGCGGTTTTAGAGCTGCAAGACAGAGAAGCACCAGCTGTGTTATCTGCAAACGAAAAATACACTGTTCTATTGCGCGTTTAGGCTGTTGTTTTTTCATTTTTGTCTTACTCATTTCTAGATTGAGGGTAGCTAGCAATGGAGAGGTTTCACCTATCATTTTGAATTCGTGTGTTGAATATCAATTTATTTTTATTTAATTTATTTAACTATTTTTTTTTCAAATATTTTGATTAATAAGTGTGTACTGTTTGAATTAACTCAAACAACCATGAAGTTAAAATTCAAGACCGTAACTATAATCAAACCCATTTTTTTAATAGCATAAAATTAAGAAAAAAAAGATCTCCTAATGGTAAAATAATTCATACAATACTCGATGATTAATACTCGATTTGATGTGACAAATCAATTATTTTTAATCTGTGTATTTGTAGATCATGCCAATTTAGAGTTCATATTGAAAAATAATTAATCCTAAATTTTTCATTTCATGACAAGGCCTCCCTAACTAGATATTTTACACTTCTTACTGGTAAGTTTAAGCATCTCTCTCTCTCTCTCTCCTCTCTCCTCACCTGCAAAATCCTGGAAGCTGCCTATGACAGAATCCTATGTCTCTCTCTCTCTCTTACATTATTATTGTATACTGAATAAAAGTTTAGAAGAAGATATCACTACCCCAGTGTTGGTATAAGCTATGATATATTATCAGCAAAATAACTGAAAGCCCATGTGCTCAAATGACTCAGTTGCCCTTGAATCCGTGTGCTAGTTCATAGTCTTTAATATTTTCTTCTGGTTTTTTAAAGGTCACCTTCAGGGTGTCATATGGGGGTGACTTTTTATGTAAGTCAAAACTATTGAATAAGTTTCTAGTTTATGACAGACTGCCAAACTCACATCATTCTTTAGTTTAGTGCTAAGCTTTTGAAAATTTTCACACTTCTCACATGTTTTTAGTCATACCTTATTATTTGCTAAGTCGAAAAGGTCCTATTTTCCTTCAAAGACCTCTATTATTTTTTCCCTTTCTCTCTTTTGGAGCTTAAAAATTGATTAATTTTGTTGTTTTTTCTACAAAAAAAATAATATGTATATATACATATGTATATGTGTGTGTGTGAACCAACATGATGAGAAAAATCTCCTCATTATAAAGCATCTTATTTGTGACTCTTAAAAAGTAAGATTAGTAATGAATTGTGTCCGTATCATATCATTCAATAGTTCGGAGTGTGCAGGTTAATTTACGTGTACTTAATTATTCTTCTTCTAAGTCCGGTCAAAGGTAGACCATCCATGCTCGGATTAGAATATTCATGAGGGATAAATCTTTCATAACTTAGTTCTAATGATTTGTAAAGATTTAAACTCAGAACGTCTGAATTTATAACTAGTCTTTGTTATCACTTAAACTACCTCTTGGGGTTATACCATGTCAAATTTTGTTCAATTCCTATTTGATTATGATTGTGTATAGTTTGATTTGTATCAAGTTGGATTTATGGAATCTTTAAACTATTTTTAGAGAATTCTTATCGACCCATTTATTTGACAAGTCTAGCGGATCTATCATTTACTACTCAATCCTACTTGGACTAAAGCGTAACCCTCTAATTGTGCATCAATTTGATATCGGGTTCACAGATCTTTTATTCCATTTCCTGGCACATTAAAAATCTCATGTTAAATTTGAAAGCCATCAAAGACAATACTATTGCTAACCCACATATAAAGCGTTAAAGCTGGGCAGTTTAAGGCTGCTACTCTAATAAAGGATTTGACATGAAAGGACAAATTAGTCAATTTGTTGAAAGCAAAGTTTTTTTTATTTTAATCCTATTAAAAACTGGAAAATATCTGTCTTCCATTTTTCTGGTACTTAGTCGAACCTTACCATTCTTTGACCAGAGGGATCTGCTTACTGAAATTAAGGCTGAAACCCCTTCTATAAATATCGACCTCTTCTCCTTCACAATCACTTCACATCTCATTCCCATCCCCAGATACAGAAGAAGAAAAAGGTACATATATATATAGAGAGAGAGAGAGAATTGATCCTACGACATCTTCTGTACATCTAAAGCAATAATCCTTCAAGAATATATACTATATAGGTGTCCGCAAAGGTATTTTATTCTTATTCGCTCTCCAACAATGGTGAAGAAAGAACACAAGATCCAATCAGAGCCATCCAAAGCAATGGCATCATCTTCATCTTCATCTTCATCTTCTTCATCATGCAATAAGAAGAAGTACAAAGGAGTGAGAATGAGGAGCTGGGGTTCATGGGTGTCTGAGATAAGAGCACCAAACCAAAAAACAAGAATATGGTTAGGCTCTTACTCAACCCCAGAAGCTGCTGCTAGAGCCTATGATGCTGCACTCTTGTGCCTCAAGGGTCCCTCAGCCAATCTCAACTTCCCAATCTCCTCATCACAATACCTTCCTGATACTATTAAAAAAGATGAGATTCTCGTCACTGCAGGATCGGCCATCATGTCCCCTAAATCCATCCAGAGAGTTGCAGCAGCAGCTGCCCACAGTTCTCCTGACAATGCCAACAGCCCACCACCACCACCACCACCATCTCCTACCTTGACCTCGACCTCGACCTCGACCTCGACCTCATCATCATCAACATTTTCGCCATCGTTATCGTATTCACCATCAAACAATATTGAAGATAATGTTTCATTAGTACCATCTTTCGACGATGCCTGCACGCCTTATGTTGTCGATGAACCAATTTCCATGACTGCAGCTTGGTACAATTTTGATTCACCAAAGTATACTGATATGCTGAACGGGGCGTTTTTCGATCCAACAATGATTGAGGATGTCTATGAAGAAAGCGATATTCATCTATGGAACTTCTGCTGAATACTCTCAATTCAAATTAGTCCAACCCATATGCCATTTATTTTTTCAATTCATTTGATGATCTTCAGCTAATTGCTTGAAGACATCACTGACAGTGACCAATATTCATATGTTGTTTGTGAGTTACTTTGGAGAACAAATTCATATGGAGAGAGACATTTTTTGGACTCTCCCATGTGGGCTCCTAGATATTCAATTTATTTTATAGTTTCTGTGAAGTGTGTCATCTGCTGTTCTTCATTGTCATAAAGAGGGGAAGGTGGTTCTACCATCTGTGACCCTTTGGTTATGTATGATTCCTCATCAAATGGTTTACATACTTCAATACTTCTTTTCTAGTATATATCTTTTACATATACCTTTTTAATTTCATTTTGGCTGGATCTATCGAGTGTTTCCCATTCTCTTTCTTCTCTAGGCCTAATTCTCTTTCATATATTGAGTGTTATGTAACGTTAGAGTCATAAACAAGTACAAACAATTAAAAAAAGTACTCTTTCTATAACATGATCTCAATTTTTGTGACAGATTGGACCAAACTTCTGTTAGTATTAGGTTGCACACAACTTTATGAACTTGATTACATACTGTAAAAAAAATTTAGGACCACACTTCTAAAATTTATTATTTAAAAAATATTTTTATAATTTTTATGGGTAATTTTATAATTAAAAAATTTATCATTTTTATGGTTAATTTATTATTTTTGTGAATGTTTTTATCATTATTGTGGGTATTTTTATCACATTTGTGACAATTATTTTTGTCATTTTTCTTAGGTACAAAAAAAAATTATCATTTTTGTAGGTGATTTACCTGTATTTTTACTACATTTTGTGAATATTTTTATCACTGTTGTGATAACTATTTTTATTATTTTTTTGAATAACTCGATAAAAGTGCCAATAAATATAATAAAAATATCCATAAATATAATAACCGAAGGAAATGATACTAAATTTATTTTTTTTTGGTACCCTAGTCAAATCCCAACTTTATATATACCATTAAGAAATGATCCTCTTGTTGATTTTTTTGTGGAGTTGACTATTGTACAAAAAAAAATAAAAAATGGTACCATACCTTCATTTATATCATTTGAGGTTATTTTTATATTTGTGGGTAATTTTATTATTGTTGTGATATCTAAAAAAGGATAAAAATAGTTATTATAATAATAATAAAAATATTTATAAATGTGATAAAATATCCATAAAAAGTGATAATTTTTTTTTATCGAAGAAAAGTGATAAAAATAGTTATTATAAATGTGATAAAAATAGTTATTATAAATGTGATAAAAATATCCACAATAGTGATAAAAACACTCACAAAAATTATAAATTACTCAAAAAAATGATAAATCTTTTGGTAGTAAAATGATTCACAAAAATTAATAAAATATTTTTTAAAATAATAAATTTTAGAGATATAGTATCAACTTTTTTTTTTTGTCGGTACCGTAATCAAATCCTTTTCTTGTTGAGGAAAACGATTATCTGGTGTGATATAAAACAAAACAAGACAAAAAAAAAAAAAAAAAAAGTTATCTGTCAATATTAATTCACCCCATATTGCCACAATGGGTCAAGTCAAATTGGTGAACCATTTGCATCAATCAAATTCTGCACATGGGGATGTTTTCTGGTTCAATGCTCGAGAGTATAGGGTTCCATGCCCAATCATTCCTTTTACATTGTATTGGGTCTCTTCAAGATTTGGATTCCGGTCGTACTCCAGGTTTGGAATCACTACAAGTGTTTGTAAGTTTAAAACAGCATGCTACAACCTCAATAGGAATAGGAATAACAATATGAATAGAAATGTGTTGTAAATTCAGGAGTGATGAGTTTAAATTTTAATAATATTTTAAGAGTAGGTCATAAGAGATTTATTTTTCACGAATATTTTGGTCTCGGTGTGAATAACTTATCTCTGACCGAACTAAAAAGAAAATTAATCGAACTACGCATAAATTAGTTCAGATATCCCTAATCGTTAAATTTAAAAGAAATACATGATCTTACGACTTCACTAGTTATAATATGCGTATATATTAATTGGGACCGATTCAATACATTTATTATGTACACTTAGGTACTATATTGGATCTGAATTAAATTTCAAAACAATTAGGAGCATTTGTGGACAGGAGGATCACCATAAGATGATCATTCTATGCTTATTGAGATCGAACCAAATCAAATAACTTTAATTCTCAATCTTTTTGTAATTCTCTATAAGAGTGAATAACTTCAATGAAGTGAAGTTTAAAATAGGGGTGTCAGACGTGTCGGGTTAAACGGGTAACGGGTGAAAAATATATAAATTCGTACACGACATATTTAATAAACGGATAAAAAATCTTAACACGAACACGACTCATTTAATAAACGGGTAACACAACACGACTTGATTAATCCGTTTAATATATTAACAAATTTTAATACTCAATTTTTTTTTATTGTCAATTGCACTTACCTGGAAAAAAAAGAATTTTTAGTCAAATTTCATAAAAATAAGACTTGAAGGTTTAAAAAAAAAAACAAAAGGTCATTGTTTTTTATAGGCAACTCAACCTTCCCAATCTCCCTTCATTTTCCTATGTGGGACAAAAACAAAAGGGATTGGTTTGCTTTTATCTTTGAAGTGCTCCTCATCTCCTCCCTTTTGGTTTTTTTTTTTTGAACAAACCTCTCTTTTGTCTTTGAACTACTATTTTATTTATTTATTTATTTTATGAATTTATTTATTTATTTATTTTGCTATTTTTTTAAAATAATTATTAATTTATTATTATATTAATTTTATTTAAACGGATAAACGTGTGATAAACGGTTTGACAGCTTTCACCCAAACATGACCCGTTTATTACCCAAACTCGTTAAAATTTCACTAAAATTTGTTTAATTCGTGTTGATTCGTGTCGTGTCGAATTTTGACAATATGAAAAACGCTTGAAACAACCCTTTGTGACAATGAATTACATTGTTTGTTTGGTTATAATTTAATCCCCAAGCTCTTGTGTTCGACTCCTCGAATTCTGATCAAACTTAAAGATTGATCCTAAGTATGTCTTATAACCAGCAGAAATGTGAAGGAACTAGGTTGCAACGTAAACTTTAGATAGTTCCCATGTATTACATGACGGAACATGTTTTATATTTAATTAAATTACAAAGGAAAAAGGTAGTTCAAAGAACATAATAGGCCGACCCATTAGACAGACAAAATGCCATAAAAGCCATCACATCCTTAAAATACACGAGTATCATATGAAATGACAGTGCTTAAGAAAAGATGGACAAGTGCACATTTTTTTTTGAAGGTGGGTCTTGGTCTATGGCAATCACCTAGCTCCAGAACCAAAAAGGAAAGGAAGAAAACAAACAAACAAGCAATCAACAGCTCCTATTTTTTCTTGAGATTTGTTTCAACATGGGTTCTTTACAATCACCAGTGAATCGTGTACATATATTAAATTTAAATTTTATGTAACCATTGAGTTTCAAATTTAGAATGTCTCGCCTATTGTTCGATTGTTGAATGAGGGTCATGTCAAGATATTACCTGTAATGGTGACAATTTAAAATTCATTTATAAAATACAAATTTGAAGAGATAAAAGGAAAAATGAGAAATATAACATTAATGTATAGTTTATTCTAATTCATTTGTGTCATGTGAGTGGCACAATTCATCACTTTAATAAGAAAATTTAATGGAGGTAGACAGAAGAGATCAATTGACATAATCAAAGAATTTAGGACTTAATTAACACACAAAAAAACAAATTCAAGGGCTTAATTGAAATAAAAATCATAATTTCATGGGCATATGTATAATTTACTCTTTTAGAAACTATCAAAATTTTATTTTAGTACATAATTTCTATCAATTTAAAAACATAAATATTTTAGTATGTCTTATAAAGGTTTCGGAAGTAAGATAAAAATAAATAAAAAATTTAAAATTTTATTTCACAAATATTTCAGAACATTGACGGAAAAATTGCAAAATATATCGAAATGTTTTGAAATTTCTACTTCAGTAGGGGCATTATGGGTACTTCATGAGGTCATATAGTTCAGATACTCGTCACCAACTTCAAAGTGGTAACCTATTCCCCGCCGGTTTGTTGTCATCGAGATTTCTCACTTGAGAGAGAGAGAGAGAGAGAGATGGGGTACTCCAAAGAGCAGTTGCTTACACGTTTACGGGTTATTTTCCCTCTCTTTATCTCTGTTGTTTTTCTTCTCTTAAATTGATGATTTTCTAAAAATTTCATTAGCTTTGTCGTTCTTAATGTGATATCCCATTCGATTTTGAGAATTTCCCTTACTTTTTTACAATTACTTGGGATTTATATTTCGGTTGTCCTTGTTTCGATTCATCGTTCATTCTCTGCTCAGTGGAATATAATTACGTACTCAGAAGAACTATAAGAATAATTGAGAAATTTTATTCCCATGGTTTCATTAGTACTCCCGTTAGATCGTTTCTCATTAGTATTTTGTTTAGATCCATAGGATTTTCAAATTTGGTTCTGGTTATTTTCCGGGCCGGTGTAGGTGTGTGGGTTTTGAATCAGACTTTTCATTTTGCTGTTGAATTTGGGTTTACCATTTAGTTCATTCCCGGCTTTGTTTATTTTATGCTGTTTCGTGTTTTACTTTTTAACGCCGGTAGTTTGATCTGTTCAACCTTTGATTATTGCTTTCAAACTTAAATATTGTGAATTGAAAATTTCAAGTGTTCATTGTCAGCCCATGCAGTGTTATGAAAGTCACGCTGCCTAGGTGAGGGCGACGCCAAGTGAGCCCAGGTTTGAGGCGAAGCAAGGCGAGATTAAATTGACTAAGGCAATCGCTTTGACGCTTAGGCGCAAAGTGACGAGGGGAGCGCTTTAGTGAAATCTTTCAAGTTGCTTTCTTTTTCTATTATGAGCCATTAAATTGATCAATTGGATTAAAATTTTGATATGCCTATATCATCCGTTGCTCCTTATCCCTATATATGTCTAATGATTAAACCCTAATCCACCCAGAATTTGTCCTGGAGATGAGAAGTCATTGCTTCATTACTTTGACAGGATGATACGGATGAACCTTAGAAAAATGAAGATTATTTGATTGGTGATGAGAATGATTTCCAAATCCTCAAGATTTGTGGAAGCATTAGACTAAATGTTCAATTGCTTGAATTGTGTGTTTTAAGTTTTCAAATGTTAGGATTTAGGATATTATTAGTGTTTTTTTTTTAAATTTAATGTTTATGCTATGGTTGCCGTTAAGATTTAAGAATTAAGATTATTAGTGTGTGTTTGAATTTAAATGTTTATAGTTTTGATTTCATTTAAATATTTAGTATTTGTGAAGTTAGAACTTGAATATTTAGAAGTAATTAAACTAAAATATTTGTTTCTTTTTTATACTGTTCGTTTCGCTTCGATAAAACACTCGCTTTGCCTCTCGTTTCTCCCATAGGCCTCAGGAGACTAGTTCACTTCGGTTCGCTTTATGCCTTAAATAACACTAAGCCCATGCATGGATTTTGGATAACCTTCATTCTAGTTTGCCACACATTGAACTCTTAGATCATAGATTTTGGAAGATGGACAAGTCCCTCAATCCGGTTTTGGCTTTTCAGGCTGAAAGAGTTCCTAATAACACCAATAGAATTTTATTTCAAACCACACAAGGAGGGTTTGGGATGTTAGATTGTGTTTCACTACCAATTAAGATCTCTTCTTGAGAATGATTTCCCAAATCAACAAACTTGATATCTATATGTACCATAGTTTAAAGTATGACTCCAAACACTACCTAAGGATATAGATATTATAATGGTTTACATAGGAGGTGTGTTTAAATCTATTAAGTTCAAAAGTCTAGAATCGAGTTAGAGGCAAATCAAACTGTTGCAATAATTCAATACGTAAATAAAGAGAAAAAAGGAAAATTTAAGTGTGAAGTTGGGTGTGGAAATGCTCTCCATTTCAATTGGGAAAAAAACATGGATGATGAGTTAAGAATTATATGGATATGTTTAGAACTTGCTCGTAATGATCTATGTTTCTTTAGTAAGAAAGTCCATTTTAAGCCAAGCCATCTCATACACGAAGTCTTACTATTAGTATTGTGATTCTTCCCAGTTCATTGACGTTGTATATTTTCATGCCTTCCAAGAAGTCGAATAGAATTGTGAATATCTGAGGGGTGTAATTAGCCCAATCTAATAATCGGTTGGTCAAATGCATTTGTGAAAGTTATGGGAGATTGGGAAAGTATATGCAAAATTTACATTTGAATGGAAGAGAGATTTTTATATAACCTTTTTAGCTCAATTTTGCCTAACTGTGGTTTGATTTGATGTTTTGTACAAATACATGTGCATGGTACGACACATTTTTTGATATGTGGTATGCTTAAGGTAGATTTAGTTGACACGTTATTTTGGATTACGATTCGTTTTGGATTTTTTATCAAGATCACTTTTACTATTATATGGTGATTAAATATGAGTATATTTCCCTTCACAATATTAATTAATGTTTATTTTATCACTATTGTATGAATTCATAGACTTGTACATCCATACGTGTACATATGATAAATGTTCTAAAGCAAACTGCAATCCCCTTCCACCCCCCCCCTAAAAAAAAAAAAAAAAAAAACAAAAACCAACTAATGGTTGTGAATAGCAACAAAAAAAAGTTTAGAGGGCTGTGTGCATGATCTCGAACTCGACAAGTGTGGCAGATGTGTTCTCACAGTGATCTCATGCATTGATCATAAGTTCAATCTCATGTACGCCAAGCGTGCCTTTGGTCATTGGCACGTCGGTGAGGTAATGGATGAAGGCGAGTTTTGTGAAGCTCGTGAAGATCTTGCTGCTTTGGAGAAGAATTATAAGGAGGTTGGTGTTGAGGCCGCTGAGGATGATAGTGACAATGGCTATGAGTACTAGGAATGGCAGTGGACCGGAGCGGGGGTAGGGGGAGTAGTCTCCACCCTTGTATCCGCTTTAAAAATATTCGCACCCTCATTAGTGGGGGAAATTTTAATCCCCGTCCTCACCCTGGGGTTAAATTTTGATCCTCGTCCGCGTCACCGTCCCATCCATAATTATTAATTTTTATGATTTTAAGAAGAAAATTATAGAACCTTCCAAATAGTTCTGCAAGAAGGATGAAATCCCATTATATAACAAATAGATAAAAAAAAAGCGAAAATTATATTTTTTTTTGGTAAAGAGAAGAGTGTGTGAGTGAGTGGGGTTTGTGATATATATATATATATATATATATATATATATATACACATACAGATATCATGGCTTTAGCGGGGAGGGGCGGGGATGAGTTTTAGTCTATTCCCGCATGGGTTTATATGGGTATCTCTGTATTCGTCTATCGTCCAGTACGTATGGTCCATCTCTGGTCCAAGCAGGGTGAGTTTGGACAAACACCCATTTTTCTCCGGTTCATTGTGATCCCTAATGAGTACTGATTGGGGTTTGGATTCCTATTGGTTTGATCATTCTATAACAGAATAACTACTATTTTTGTTTGAGTTATGTGCGGTTTATGCTGTTTTAGTGTGACTCTATGCGACTTATGCTCCAAGTCCTCTCCTGTTTGATGTAATTTGTGTAAAAAAAAAAACCAAAAAAAAAGGTTAATGATTGCAGATTTGTATTATAAAAAATTCAAGTTAATTAAATGAGAGTATAAGTTTAAGCATCACCAAAACAAAGATATGAAATAACAGTTATGATTATAATTAAGTATTACTTGGATTGTGTGTTGATTTTGGTTTGGGTTATAGTTTCGGTCGGGAATTTGAGAGATCTAGGTCACGAATCCATCCCGTTTGGGGTCGTGTGATACTGGAGCGTGGGACGATTGCAGTAATACGATATCAGTATCTCTGATTCTAGCTTTTCTAGGTCTTGATTTCCATCTATTGGCAATATATTTCTAACAAGGCATAATGGTTATGTGAAATAATAAGATTTTGTAGTTATTAATTTCTCTCTCAGGTGCAACTGGAAGATTTTTTTATATTTTTTATTACATATTAAATTATTAATAGAAGAAGGTTTCGTTTAAAGCATGATGTATACTCCATGGAAATTCATTACGGTTTGGAGAAAAGTAGCAAATTTAAGATTGTAAGAGTCTACACTTATTTATTATTTGTTTGGAATTAGAAAACACTTGCTTCCTTTGGTACCATGGCATATTTTTGAGTGCTAATTGTTTTGCATAAAGATATATAGCTGGAACCTCTATATAGCTTACAAACGTTTAGGAGCTAAGATTTGATTTATCGTTATCTTAAACTTTAGCAGAAGACAACTTTCTTATGCTTAGCATGCTTGTGATTTTCAGCGAATGCACTTGAGATTTTCAGGTGATGATTATGCTTTAATACTGCTCTGTTGTCCTGAATCTGATTTGTACTTTGTGTTCTCTTAGGAACTTCAAATTGGTTTTTCCCAATATGATCATCCTGTTGTTTTGTCGGTTGAAGCTCAGGTAAAAGAATATGCAAAATCTGGGTGAATTTTGTTCCGCTCTATATGTTTTGGATCATCTCCCTTTCTTTTTCATCAGGCAAAGTATGTGGGGCATATGAAAGGTGCATGGAGTAAAAACTTATTTTTGAAGGTATGATATTCGAGTATATGGAGAGATGAAGTATAGTTAAGCGTCCTTCGTTTTTTTGTAAAGTTTCTCCTGGTTTTCTATGCAGGATAAGAAACATAGATTTTATATTGTTTCTGCTCTAGCAGATACCAAAGTAGATTTGAAAGGTAATATGATATTTAATTTTGATTCGATTGATATCTCTTTGAAGGCTCAAACTGCATAGATAGATTTTCTCCTATCAAGTTTTCATGTGTGTCATACATTTTGTTTTCATTCATGCCTTGATTTTAAATTCTTGGATGTTTATCCGAGTTATTGTGGCATTGAAGCTGAGCAGTTCTATCTCAGAGACTTGGTTTGGGAAAAGGAGGCTTGAGAATGGCTCCTGAAGAAGCACTTGCAGAAATACTTCAGGTGCGAAAGTGCTTTCAAATTTATTTTGTCCTCTCTCTTTTTGTTGTGGCAATAGGCTGTGATATCTGTGGAAATTAAGAACGTTTAAGATGCTGTATCTGTTTTCTTGTTGCAATAGCTCAAACATGATATAAAAAAAGGATATATATTTTCTATTCTGTTTCTGACTTCCTGTAGTGAAGTGTATATTAGTTAAAAAGTGTCAACAGGAAACAGCTAGCTGATAGCTGAAGTGGTGGTACCTACTGCTTTTCCATTTGGGGGTGATGGAAGGTTCAAGTCTTGCTGGGGATAGTAGTGTGAGACCTATTTAGGGCCTTTATTTTTTATTTTTTAACAAAACCTATTTACGGCATTGGCCGATCAAATTCCACATTCTTGGTTTTGGGATTGGAAAATGGATATGATAGGGATGAGATATCTTCCATTGACTCTTAGTGTTGTGCTAGTTCTTTCATATGCTATAATTTAGCACAATGTACTTGATATTTCAATTGCACGATTCGGTGTTATCTATTGCCTATGTATCATGGTGCCAGAGTTTGGAGTGGAATAGATGGCTTAGTGAGATCTGTGATACCAACTTTTTTTAATGCGTTGAAATCTGCAAGATGCTGTGATGAAGAATGACCAAATCATGCATGCGTGAGCACATAGTAAGGTGTCCTCTGAAAACTGTCCCATTGTAAGGGGAAAGCCATGGGTTCAAAGGAGCTGAAGGCAAGGACATGGAAAGCTCTCTTTCAACCCAAACAACTCCACAATCTTTTTAAAGATTAAAATCTTTTCCTCATCCCCGCAGAAAATAAAATTGTATCATCAGTAAACAATAAGTGAGAAACAGATAGCCTATCCCTCCCCACAATAAATCCTTCCACAAGAATACTATTCTTTTCCCTTCTCACTAATCTACTCAGCCTATCTGCAACTAAAGAAAAAAAAAAGGGAGATAAATGGTCTCCCTGTCTCAATCCTCTAGATGACTTAAATCTTCCTCTAGGCTTCCCATTAAGCATAATAAAGAAGTTTATCAAATGTAAACAACCTGTAATCCATCTTCTCCATCTACATACATATCCTTTAACTTCCAATGCAAAGTCTAAGAAATCCCATTCCACATAGCCTTTTGGCAGTCAGGTTAGTTGTTTGGCTGGATTGTCATTACTTCATGATAATCCCTGTCAGAAGGCTCAAACAGATTGCTCTTTGCTTCGTTCTTTATTTTTAAGGTGCTTCTCTCTTGAGGGTCTTCGCAGTTTTTGTGCTGGTTTTTTTCATTATAGATATTGTTTGTATTTTGATCCAGTCAACCCACTGTATTTTCTTCAAGCTTGGTGTAGGATGCATTATTCATGACTCTAATACGTACTTGCATAGATCATTGTTGTGTTGGTTGTAATTCACATCCTGACATTTTTGCTTTACTAATTCTCAAGGTGCCATTAGGTTGTGTTACTCCGTTTGCTCTTGTAAATGAATCAGCACGGTATGCTTCTTATTCTTCTGTAATCTTTCTGTAACATATTTATCCCCTTTTTGCATTATACTATCTTGGAAAATAAGATCTCAGTCTCTCCTTTTGTTAATATTTAAAATTTTTAAACGTATACACATAAACACATAGACACACACACACCCCACATTCATTTGTAATGATATCTTGCATTTTTCCTTTGTGAAGGCATGTTTCGCTGTTGTTAGATCAAGGATTTAACACTAAAGAATGCTGCTTTTTCCACCCACTGTCCAATGACATGTCAATCTGTAAGTGAGTGGGGTTTCTTCACAAAATAATAATAAAAAAAAAACTCTGTTCGTCTTGAAATACATTAAATTTAATTAGTTATGTATGGTGTTGTCATTCTTTTAATTAAGGTTGCTGCTAATGGATGCTTTTTTTACATACTTATGTCAATGGTGGGTCATTGTAAATGACTGTCAGTTAGTTTTAGTTGAACAAGTATATCAGCTGTTCTGTCAAAATGGATTTAGCATTATCATTTCTAGTTTCACATTTTTAGTTTATGCTTCCTCATCTCAGTAGGGTATTGGTTAGCTGTCAAATTTTTATTTGGTTGATGATGAAGGTTTGATACATGGAAACATTTGACTTTTGTGTCATATTATTTCCTGGGAGATGCTTTGCGGCATCACTTGCAATATGAAACACATATTTTAACCACAGTAAATGTGAGGAATGAGACCGCCAAACTTGTAGACCCTCTGGTTGAATGGAATTTGGGGCGACAAGTCGACTTGTTTGTCATTTGTCTTTAAGTAACAATGCCGGGCAGTTATTAGGGAACATAGGAAGATTTTTCTGCATATAAGGCTTTGCACTTGAAAAGTTCATGACTTTGATAGATCTCAATTGCACTCTTTGTTTCTTCCTCTCTTTGTCGACCTATGCTTTTTATCTTCCGTTTCTATGACTCTATGTTTAATTTCTTTGTAGTAAAGATCATGTTTGATGTTTTTCACTTAAATGATGGTTCAGATTGGAACTGTTCTATTCACATCTATATTCTATCACTTCCTAGTTCCTATGCATTCCTGTGTTTTTTTTTATATTTCCTAGTCATTTGTATGTTATTTTAAGCAAAATGGTAACCACAAAGTTTCTTGTTAAATTGCTACAGTTTTGTCCTTATGTTAATGTATGATGGAAAAAAGCGCTAAGCGGGGGCGCTATACATACTGTAACTCAATGAAACAACTTAGCCCTTCGCAAAACTCGACTTGCCTATAAAATTAATAGACTACAAAGAATCAGGATCTTCCCTGAAACTCAAATAGCTATGTTTAGCAACAAAGTTTCCAATCTTGGTAGTCATATCTCCGCATCTTGAAAGGGCATCTGTTCCTTTCTCTTCACACACTGCACAACAAAGAAAGAATTGTCATCTTCGAAGCTTGCCTTAGTCTCTTGCAAGCATGAACCCGACGTCAACAGCCAATGAGCTCTTCTACTAGCCATGTCTTCACCAATGTCATCCCAAAGCTAGAGAGAAGCAGATGATATAATTCTCAAGCCCTGATATATGAATCAGGAAGTGATAAAATGTTTCCCTTTCCTTCTTTCACATACAAATGCTACTAAGTAATCTTCTGCTGTGATGTCTAACTTAACATGGGTTCAGAATAGGCTCTAAAGTTACCCTCCATGCAAATTAAGATGCCTCTAGACATTGACCTGCCAAATGTCCTTTCACAGGAAGCCTATCTGCCTGCCAGCCTTTAACACCTTAAATGATCGCACTCCAAATTTCAAAATCCTATCTGCTTTCCATCTCATGGTATTGTTCTTTGCCCTATTGAATTTGACATGATGTGTAATGGATGCCCTTTATTCATGCAGTACTAAAAAGATGCTTGAACCAGATATTGTTGCTCAATGAAAACATTTTTTTTTCTTTTCAAAATGCTGCTAAATTTGTATCTTTTTTGAATTTTCATTTAGAGTATTTAGTCAATGACATTTATGTTAAATTCTTTGAAAGGGAATTTAACTCTAGTGAATGAGTGAAATATTTATGTGAGACATAAAGAAGGATGTGTGATATCAACTTTTACTGTTGGCCATAATATGTGTCTCGAAAATTATCCAAACTGTGATTTAACTAAAGAAAAGTGCTTTCTCAAATATCTTACTCTCTTGTTTGCATTGTAATGCCTGATCATAATTTGCAACATAACATTTCTGGTTACAGCTCTTAATGCCCATGATCTTGACAAGTTTCTGAAATCTATAGGAAAGGACCCTGCCTATGTTGACCTGGAGGTAAATATGATGTTCAGTTTGTTGAGTGAGTTCATATGCTCTTTTTGGTAAAAAATGTTTGTGTTTTGTTGCAGTCTAACCCTTCAGTGGGGAAAGATCAACCTCCTGACCTAGTTGCTCTTGTTCCATCTGGCACAACGGTGTTGCCAGAGCCAGCAGAAATCACAGCTTCCTGCAAAGCGTGGACAAAAGCCATGTCTTCGTGAATAATAAGTTGACAGCTGTTACAGGTATTTTACTGCAATTTTATTACTTACACTACTTTAAGTGAAGATCGGATGTGGTATTTTCTGTTCGAATATTTTTCCTTTCAATTTTTACTATGTATACCCATTAGAGTTCCTTTGAGAATGGTGCATTTCTGCCCTTTCACATGACCTTTCTGTTGAGTTTGATTTATTATTCTTTCTTTCACTAAAATTGACCTAATATGAGCTGGGTTTGTCTTTACAATTTGGTGGACATTTAATGAACTTCTATAACTTTACCGTTGTTATGTGGTTGAAACTTGAAAGATGGATGAAACCATCCCAAACATGATAATTTTCATGGCCTCTGCTTGTTCTAATATGCTGATCAACTTTGTATGATTCATATCTTATTTATGAGCCTATCTGTGTATCTTTCTTATTTTTCTTACAAATAAAATCTCTGTTTTGACATGCGGACGAAGAATGTTGCAAAAAGACAGAAAATATTTAAGCATACCCACTTTATGATCTGGTTTTGTGACAAGATGTTCTCAAACTCAGAAGACCAGAAAATGCAGCTCCTAGAGGCAAGGCTGGCTCAACGACATAGCTATTGAAGCCGCCACTTTAGGCCCTCGAATTTTTAGGGCCACATTTTAAGGAGGTTTAATTAATCTAATATTATTGTTAGGATTTCAAATAAAATTTTTAGATCAATATTCAATGAAGTCCAATTTTATTTTTAGTACCCTAAATAATTTTTTTAGGCACAGGTTCAATTAAATCTAATTTTATTCTTAGGTCCCTAGTAAAATTTTTAAAACTCAGGTTCAAGTAAGTCCATTTTTATTTTTAGGGCCCAAAAAAATTTGGGAGTCAATTCAATTAAGCCCATATTTGTTTTTAAAGCCTCAAATAAAATTTGTATACTCATGTTCAATCAAACCCAAATTGATTTTTAGAGCCTCTAAAAATTGGTCAGCAAAGATTGTAGACCCAAATTCAATTGAGTTCAGTATTATTTTTAAGACCCCTACACCAATGAAATATTAATTTCTTTTACAATAATGTTTTTTAGTGATATAATATTTTTTAACATACTATTACCAACTACTTGTGTAGCCGGAAAATTATTTCATTCATTGATATTTCTAAAATCCAATAATCTTTTGAAAAGTTAGAGTTCTTTAGATGTGATTTGAGTTTGTTGAGAATTTTTTATATTATTAATATAAAACTAAAACACCATTAGAGTCTATAATATTTTGCTTAAATTTTATTATTTATAATTTATCTAGTAAAATTCTATCTCACCATTATAGGTATCACACATTTTTCAAGTGAATTATACTATTTATTGAAGAAAACATGTTAACAAAACTTAAATACAAAAATCTAATAAATACTTTTCATCTCTAAAGGTGGTAATATAAATAATATTTTATAATAATTTAAATCTTAAAATTTATCTTAAAAATTAATAGGTTCTCATTAAAATTTTTCGCTTTAGGCCCCGTTTTTTGTGTCCCCCCCCCCCCTCCCCAAAAAAAAAAAACCCACCTAGAGGTGCCGATGCTGTCTTGCATTGCCTGACACAGATGTGTTTGATCCATGTCTTCTTCATTTTTATCTTGTCTTGAACTTGATTTCGCTTGTTGAATCTCATGCAAGTTAGGTTGTGGTTCCTTCTATAAACTACAACTAGTTACGATATCTATTTTCACAGGCAGTTTACTTGTTTAATAGTCTTTGCACAACCTTCTCAAGGGTTTTACCTTGAGTGTTTTGCATTGATTCTGTGTATTGATGTCCATGAAAGACCCTCCTCCCCCTCCAACAAAACTTGAAAAAGCGATAAAGTAAATTATTGTTCTGACACCTTCATTATTTTCATTATGATGTAAAGGATTTAGATCTATGGTAAAAAAAAAAAAAGAAAAGGATTTAGATCTTTAGCATATGTATTCCTTGTCAATTCTTTCTATCAAATAACCCTGCATTTCACTATTTTTATTCACATAATTCAGCTAAATTCTTTAAGCATGTGAAAAAATTGTACTCCAATGTTTTAAGGGTGTGTTTTGTGATGTATTTATATATTGCTGTCTCCTGCAGTGCCTGTATGCACTACTTTGAGAGTTGCTGTGTTGGAGTGTCCTCATCATTTTGTGGCTGTGTTCCTGTTTCTTAGTTTATTATTATTTTTTATTTTCGCTTTTTCAGTTGTGGATACAATCTGATTCTTTTTGATGAATTTAGCATAACTTGACAATATTTATCTCATAGCCCGGCAGTATCACTTGCCTGGCAGACTTTGTAAACAGTAAGCAAGCTAATCTTTGCACTTACTCATATCCGTAACATTTTTCCTAAAATTAAATTTACCTTGTCCAACATAGTCTTTTTAAAAATAAAAGATCAGCTTTAGTCTTCAATTAATGTGCTATGTGCTACCAACATGTTCATGTTCTCCGAGTAAACACTGTCATGGTATATTCCTATATTGATCTTGATTTCTTGTAAAAATTTATCCAAATGTCAGATAACATTTGAAAGGTATCGTACCTCCTTCAATACTGAAGTCAAATCCCTTAATAGTAGATGACACATTTCTTGAGGCTTTTGAATGATTCTGCTAGCAAAGAAATAAAGGCCTACTTCCATTGTATTATTGCTTACAAATGTATAACAAATGACAATCCATATTGAAAAAAATATAAAAGTAACACAAATCAGAAAAAAGAATGAGCTCTACTGAAGAAAATTTCAGATGCATTCAAAGAATTTATGATGAAGTGATAAACAATTTATGTCACTAAAAACTTAATCAACCAACCTCGTGATGAAAATTTCAAATGTTTATCAAAGATTTCATCCAGATTTGATAAATAATCTATGTGATGGTCAACTTAATCAAAGACCCTCGTGAAGAAGATTTTTACCTGGCAAACTACTTAGCAACCACCCACTTGTCATTTTTGATTTATTATAATATCCGACAACAGTGCAAGGAAGTATATGCATGCATTTGGGACATTAAAATATTAACCTATTGTAGTCCTTACCCGCTCCGTAGATCCTGCCGACAGTGACATCGAAGACGCGACCCCTGATGGCCATGTATAAGGGTTTTGATGGTTCTGTCCTGCTGTATTGTTTCAGCTGTTGCAGTCTGAACTCCATTGATTCCAAATCTTAAGATTTCTTTGTGAATGTGGTGTGTGCCCTTCCGGGAGATGGAAAGGGTCTGATTTCTTCGATAAATACATAGATCAATTATTTTTGAGATGGACACTTTGCACTAGGGGTCCATTTCTTGTAGAAATTTATCCGAATGTCAAAACCGTGGGATCGACAATTTCAATGCTCATTTCTCTAATAGAGTCTATTCCATTTCACAAGGAAATAAATTTTGGGGAATTTTTTTACCCGTGGTTGTGGATCAGTGACAAAATTTTCTTGGCTGTCTTGTTGACATGTTTTTTATTCTCTCTTTGCTATAGCAAAAGCTGTTAATCCGCCCAATGATGCACAAAAGGAGAAAATGACTAATGCCATGAATTTGTCGAGCTCTTTTACTGATCCTGGGAAATTTGTTGAAGAAATTATAGTTAAAACATCAGCTATCGTTATAGCAGAGGCAAGTAGAATACTACACTCAGTTTAAAGTCACACTGTTTCTGCTGTGTCTGAGAAATCATATAATGCAGATCAAAGAAGAAACTATAAACCAACATGGGGAACAACTTGGTGTCATGGTATCAGACAGTATAAGAAAACAGCTTACCACAGAGTTCAAGAACCTAGCTGTGAGTATTTGTTTTCGTTCTTTCTCATAAACTGAAAGTACGCGATTGTATAATGGTTTTTTCTTACTTTTCTGCCTGTTATGTGTAACTACTTTTGGCTATGAGCAATGTTATTGTATCTGGCAATTGTGATTTTACACAACTCTTAGAAACGAAATTCAGGCTTAGCCTTCTCTTTGAATATGTGGGTCATCTTTAACAGAATTATAGAGTGCTTCAAGTTTAAATGACATTGCTTGCATAGTCGTCGTTTTAGCAGACTAGGGAAATATCCACCACTTCAATATAAAGATGTCATTAACATATCTACATTTACTTTTCTTTAACTTAACCTTTTCCTTGTACTGTGACATTTATACTACAAAGATGGTGGTAGTTGCATTTTGCTTAATCGTTTCATTTTCATTTTTGGATGACCAATTTCATTTTTCTCAGTCCATTATGTCTGAGTAGATTTTCTTATTGCAGACAATATTCAAGAACACAGCATATACAGAAGGTTTTCATGCCGGTACTTCCCGCCAACCAAAGCGTGTGTAGAATTGAAGAAAATTCATAATGACTGGGTGCTCTACTCTTTTTTTGAGATTCTATGCATCTACATTTATGTACAATTCATCTATACCCGATGTTTTCGTTGATAAATTTTCGTCAATCTAGCTGTATCATTGATAAAAAAATTAGTTGAGATAAGCTTTGGAGGGACAAAATTACGAGGTTATGTATCACTATAGTTATTGTTGGACGTTACAAGCACCCACCCAAAATGGTGGCCCTCCCTGAATTTCAATACCCCCCTCCCTCCCTTCATACCTCAACATTAAACTTGCTATTTCCTCATCACTCTTCATATCATACAAACCCACCAACAGCCATTTTTCATACCACTCTCATTTCTCAGATGCTTGCCTCCTACCGTTCATACCTCCCCCGTTGTCAAGGTTCACAGTTCTTATCCACCGCTCATGCAATGGATAGGGTTTAATCCCTCTTCATATGCAAGAACATCCACCCAGTAACAACAAAACCCAAACATCCAGCCTCAATCCAAGTCGCTACCTTTGTGAATTGTGACCAAATCATGCCTAATGGGAAAACTCTTAACCAAAAATAATCAACCGAAATGCAATCAAGGGAATAATCACAACAGCATGGAATGTCGGAAACCATCTGGAAATCGGGGATGGAGAGCAAGATGCCTACATTTTCATATTCACCGATGAAGAAACCAGGAAACGTACAACAGTTAAAAAACAATTTGTATTCCTAAATGTTGGAATGGAAACTCCACTATCTCTGAGCTCCAATTTGACATAACCCCCTTCTGAATTCAAGCAAATGACCTGCTGCCCGATATGCTCACAACTGCCAATGCCTTGAAAATTGCCGTAGCAATTGGAACCCCTAAGAACTCTAAAAACACCCTCAAGCAAGGAACACTTTGGAAAGGGTACCTCCCACAACAAACCC